TTATACAGCAACAATAAAAATTATGCACCGACCTAACACGGTTACTCCTTCTTAACGGATTGAAAACTGGGTCGTACAGACCGTAACGTGATTACCGGCCGGCTATCCGGTCCGGACAGACGCTTTGACGGCGCACAATCTGATTATGCTCTATATTATAATTTTCCGGTGAAAACCTCGATGGCTGGAACGTTCATCAAAAACGTCCCCGATTTTGGTCAGTGCCAGGAAATTGGTAATGGATGCCAGGAGAGTGACGTGACAGCGTGTGTAATGGGTTTTAATTGTATTTTGCTTTCAATTAATCACAGTATTGTATTTAGCTCGCAATTAAGTTATACAGACCCCGTGCTCAGGATATTTCTTCTTTCCCAAAAAGTCCATGTGTGACATAACTCAACCACATTTTCTCCAGTCATCTTTAAACTATACATACGTTTATTTAGATGTTTTATTATTAGTAGTTTAGACCTGCAACTACAGAACGTTAGTGAGTACAATTTATTAGAACATTCAATTACCCTGAAGGTAAGTACTAAGTAGCTACTAAGCACTCATTTACATTACAATCAGCTACATGAATCTTGGTTAGCAGCGCTTGCAGGTCTACCAAGGCAAATGTTCACTTTGCATGATGCATAAAGCCTCACTACTAATGTTCCTAACTTTTTTATGGAATAGGGCGGCGGCAAACGAGCAGATGGTAAGCAGTCGATGCCGCACATGGACAAGCTAATACTGCTTTGCCCTTTGGGAAATTGGAGATGGGGACTGAAAACACTGGTTCTCTGTAAGAGTCGGTTATAAAAATATTTAATGTACTGAAATAATAGCGTAATTTAAGTCACAGTCAGTAAATACGACTCAAATAGTCTGAAACTTATTTATTAATTAAATTAAGTAAAAAAAATGGGCAATGGAGATAGTAGATCACCATTTAATAGGCTCTTTGAAGTAAGTAATTACTTTTTTAAAGTAACGCAAAGATTTACGTTGAATATTTGGCAAGTTTACGCTTCTTTGTAATGAGATGGGTTTTAAAAAATTGAGAGTAAATAAATTAGTAGGATTATAGGTTATTTCAAATTTCTGTGTAAAAAGAGGACTAATTAGTGCTATAATTAGTTCCATTTAGGCATTGTGGGTAGGTACTACAGCAACTATATTATTATTTAAAACGTATGAGCGCGAAACAGGAACGTTAATTTTAAAACAAAACCTTTATAATAATAAAATGTAAAAAATACACAAAGCTATATCCTGAACAAACATTAAACATTTATTTTACTGCGCCATATTTACTTTATATTCAAAAAAATGTAGTTACAAAGTGAAATGTTTTTAAATAATTTCCTACTCGTATGACCAATTATCATAAATAGATTATACATACATAACATCACGCCTTTTTATCCCCGAAGGGGTAGACAGAGGTGCACATTTCGGCACTTAATGCCACTGTACAATTTAACACCCACTTTTCACTATTTATGTTATAAGTCCCATGTAATAGGGGGTGAGCCTATTGCCATATAACGGGCACATTTCCAGACTCCGTGCTACTACACTCGGCCAACGAGGCAGGCAGATTATAAATTATTACAATTTGGATTATTGTAATAAATAATAAGCATAAAAATAATAACAACATAAATATTGGGGTCCGAGGGGCCTATAGCGTTCTAAACGAACGTAAGTAGTATTTTAACATGTTTTGCTCCCAACTGAATTCAAAACAGGTGCATACCACGAATTATTTTTTAATTACACTCTTCGAATAGATCAGGTGAGACCGCCCAATATTGGGGAAGAAGTAGGTAAAAATGTAACTGGTCTAAACAAAATAATATGTAGTTTCACTTGGATATTAAAATGATAGTACATCTATGCTTTTTTATAACAATTTTCATGTATTTTCATTGAAACAACTTAGATGTGTTTGTCAAACATCTATTGTACGTATGACTACTACTCATACATGTTAAACTGTCAAACACCAAGCGGTCACCGGTGACCGCAACCTATTGTTCTATAATTGTGTCTACAAAACCGGTACTCGACGAGTTAAACTTCAACATTATGACATACAAATAAAATCTATAAATTACTGAAATCGATTTTACTATAAATAACAAATAAGTTAAATTGGCGAAATTCTTACACACCTTAATAATCACTTGCAAACCATGGATACCAGGGTCTGTGGGATCATATTTTATGGCTAATTCGTTCAGTTACCGTCGCCATAACGCTCGGGTGTCGCTCTGAGTTAAGCAGGAGTCCAGGGTGCTCGTGTTTTATGACGCCTTCATATTCCACTTAGTTGCGCTGCGGATTTATGCGGATTTATTGGAGATGAATGACCCTGGACGTAGGATTTTATTCTTTGTTTATTCTATTGCAGAGATTTTAGAAATGTTATTATTTAATTGTAATTTAGTTACCCAAAAGTTTAGGCAGAATTGCGAATTTGCGAAGTTATGGTCCCTCACTGACCAAAATATGCTGATACAAAACTAAATTAAATAACAAAATATCTTGGATTGCTCTTAATTTAAAAAAGAATATTCACCACAAGCAATTAAGTGAAGCCTCTTTAGTCTTTACCATTCAAAAGTAAAACAAATGAAAATTTGTTTACTTAGAAAATTAAAGATATATTAAGTAATTATTTAATAAGGAAACAACTGATAGCAGTGGAAGTAACCCACGGATTTGTGTAAAAAATTCCTTATTAAATAAACTTCTTTGATAAATAAAACTGTTACAAGAGTTTCAGAAGAAATGTCTGGCAGCTATGAATTAATAAACGATTAGTGGACACGTTGCCTGCCGGCGCCGGCGCCGGCGCTACTTATTACGTAATTACTGTAATTATACAAAATGGGCGAACCCTATACACACTACAACACATTTAAACAATACATAATTTCCTTGACGCTGGCAGGACTGGTGTATCCTTCAATGATCTATTTTGCCGGTACTTAACATTGTCGTTATTTGAAGCAGTTGATTGTAAGGTTTAACATGATAACATCGGTCGATGGTATACCTACACATTAGATAAATGACGCCTATATCTTGCATAAAATCAGGGCATTTACCTTCTATTCCCTGTAGAGATCAGCAGAAGACTACATAATTATAATATCAGATGTACTAGCTACTTTTACAACATACAGGACGCCTTGGTATCCCGTGTTTAGTACTCACATTTAAACTCAAATATCGATACAGTCTTGAAACTAAGTACCTACCTTAATAAATATTCTTTAAGCTCCAATTCAACAGGTCGTGAAACTCACGACACTCTAGGAGTCACGACAGCTGTGTCACCTTACAATCTATGAATAACATACGACGTAGTTTACTCGGTTACCTTTTACAGCTTGCCAGTAACAAGCAGTTTTACGATCCAGTGCCAACGTACGTTATTGTCGTATTACTACACCCTCTAACAATGTCTGCGATCCGATTTAATTGCTTAGACTACGACACGTACATTGTACCATTACAAAAAAAATATATTAACTTTGTTTATTTATTATTACTCTGTAACGCTTTTTAAGGTATCACTTGAGGTCATGAGACTTTTTCTGTAAAATATAAAAGACCCAAAAGCCCATCAATCGATCAAAAATAAAATAGGTTAGTTGGACAAACACTGACATTAATATTAAACGAAAATTCAGATATAGGCGACAGTAACAACTGAAACAATCAATCAGAACTTTATAATAATAGCAATCACATAACTCGATAGGCCACCTGAATATCAAACTTAAAGTAAATCATTATTGATTTGTATTTCTACAAAATAAACAAAGTATTTCATTTTGTTTTATTTTCAAACATGTGAACTTATTTCACAGTCAATGTATCTGGAATCCGATACATTTGCTGATATTTCATATTGACGGGCACGCGGACAGCGATGCATTGTTTGATGTATCGGATATTTGAAACGATTCGTCGTTTCCATCACTCCCACAAATCGAATTTGCTGAAATGTTGGTCTTGAATATTGCTAACAAGATTACAAATAGTTACATAACCTGCGCAGACCATCAATCATCGCAAACTATATTACAAACCTGATAACTCAATCTGCTTCACCCTAACCATCAACGTTTCCGATAAGCCACCAAAACAATTATAGGGATTTATAATAGTACTTTTTAAGGAAAAACCTCCTTAATTTGCTTCTGAATGAAGAGTAGGAGCCGGCTGCGAGGGTCTGCCAGCTTCAGCAAAGGATTATGTAAAGCCGACGGAGATTTCGTACAAGCCTACCTTATTTATCGAAAATAATGTCAAGAGAATCGAGAAGAGACTGAATTTGTTGCGGATTTCGTTCGGATTGCGAATATTGGCTTGTAGCACACAAGGTTGAGGAAATCGTTGAAGATAGGATTGTTTGAAAAAGAAATCATATTATCGATGAACAGTAAATATGTATGGAGAACCAAAATCTCTTTTTACTCAACATAATCATATTTTAACAACAAAATAACATTTTCAATCATTACTAAATGAACCTTCCTATTGCAATATTTGTGATTCGCATTTATACAAGCGCGCGAATATCGAAGCGAATGTCGAGGCGTACAACTAACACGCGTAACGGCATAATGTAGTGCTACAAGCTATACGCTGCGTAGGTAGGTACTTACTTAGCTACTACGCAACATGGACTGCTTTTTTTTAAACAGAACGTGTCCCAAGTATGATACAAAACATCTTATCTTTCTATTTCATTTCTTTACATTACATCGGCATAAGTTGCTCTATTTCTAGCGTGAGTGAGACAAAAGATATCACTTTGTTTCTGTCTACGGTTATTCACCTCGTGATTCGCGGGTTCGAGAGAATATTCAAGCGAATATCATAGAGCACGAACGGCAAACACGAACTTTCGCCTGCATTCAGTTGACACCAAGCCAGGGGACTGACAGTACGTGCCAAACTGCCAACAGTACGTGACGACCCAGAAGGAAAAAATGGAGTGGAGAAAAGCGATGATTATAAAATTCATTAAATTATTTGAAAAGGAAGAGGCCATTTGGAACCCAAAACACGAAAACCACAACTACAGGCAAAAGATAAATGATGCTTGGAACCGTATGTCCGTCAGTATGGGGTTGCCAGTGAACATATTAAAGACAAAAAAGAATTCTTTGATGGCCTGCTTCCGCACACATCTCCGAAGGAAGAAAAAATCAATGAAATCAGGTAAAGGAGCTGAGGGAGAAGATGTATATGAACCTATATGGTTTGCATACAAAATGATGGAAAATTTCTTGGGTCCAGTATACAACTGCGGTGATACAATAAACACCGAGGACAACGTAAGTGTTTTGATTATTGAACTATTTAACATTCCTTGATTAATTTATTATTGTGTTACTTTACTTTACTGTTCTTTTGTAAGTACAAATAAAAATAATTAAAATCATGATTTTATATCATGTTGACTTAATATAATTATAACTCAACGACAATTCACTAATATCGCATTGTTATTTAACTCGTCGAGTACCGTCATTATAGACACAATTATAGTAGAACAATAGGTTGCGGTCACCGGTGACCGCTTGGTGTTTGACAGTTTAAGTAACGCATGTCAAAGAAAGCAATAATAAATTATACATGGAAGAAAAAGGTGCAAACTGGTTTCTATTTACATTTCATTGATGAAAACCAAATAAACGGGCCTGTCAACAATTTCAATTAGAGGTATAATACCCTCCGTTCGTTTTAATTATAATTAGTTTCATACAACGTAAAATTATGTACATATCTGATATATGAATGAATTTATAAACTAATAAACATAACATCACACCTTTTTATCCCTGAAGGGGTAGGCAGAGGTGCACATTTCGGCACTTAATGCGACTGTACAATGTAACACCCACTTTAACTATTTATGTTATGAGTCCTATGTAATAGGGGGTGAGCCTATTGCCATATTCCGGGCACAATTCCAGACTCCGTGCTATTACTGATATTTTTAAAAACCCAGTTACACTTTGCCCGACCTGGGAATCGAACCCGAGACCCCTTGCCCGGCATTCGCACTTGCGACCACTTGGCCAACAAGGCAAACGTCGTAAATTGATAAAGTATGGAGCAAATTCTTCAAAACAAGACGCCTAGTGTTACAGTTTGTCTATTTAATAATTTATTTATTTATTTATTTATTTAAAACCTTACCTAAAACTATCATTACAGTTTTCTCCATTGCGATAGCTTAGGTCTAAAACTAAATCTATGTGCCTAATTACTAATACATATGCATACACAAACTTAATTAATCTTAACATTTATCCATAAAAAAAGAGATAATACTGACGACTTTATGGTCACGAGATCAACGGTGAACTACTTACTAAATAACAATAATAAAAAAAAAAAAAATGAAATGAAATAATAATCTTAATTAACATTTGAATAACATAATATATACAACGTAACTTTTACGAATTCACTCACATTGCAACACAATACATCCACCCTTTCATGGACTTCGTTCACTACTCTCATAGCTCTAGTGAGAGGAGCCCTAGCTAGTAAGTTGGTTCTAATGAAAATTAATGAGGGCGCCACAGGTCGTTTATATTGCCACCCCTGCAGCGTAAAACCAACCAAACACCAACAAAACTAACTTGTAAAGCAATGTCAACAATCTTTACTTTGCATATAAAATCGTGGCTGCATTGTCATCTCGATATCACGCAAAATACAGTATAATTTTAACGAAATTGACTATTTCGTGTTCCCTATGATATCAGTTAATATAAAACTCAGGTGTAAAACTTAATGTTTAATAAGTTTGTTTATTACTATATATATATTTATATATATCTATTTATAGTAATAATATATATCTCTTTGACGTTGGTGATACAACTCCTTTGTTTTAATTTACCTATCTTATAGATCTAGCAGTTTGTTTGACCAGGTATGACTGAAGGCTGATTTTTCAATCAACAGGAAACTGTTAACTGTAGAAAATATTAACAATTGACAGTTTTTGGTATGGAACATTTGTTTGTAATGAAATCTAAATTGTAATTGATTCAGTTAATGTATGTAACAATGAGTGCGAACAGACATTATATGACAAAGCTCTACTGGATAAACTATATAGCTATAATAAAGCTATAATATGAAGCCTATAACCAAATTATTCAACTAGAAGTAGGTAATAAACCTTAACATCATAGTCAGTCTGAATAAGTCTTTTTAGCGGGTTGGTGTTACCCCAGCTTCTCAGTCACATAACGTAGGCATGAATTCAGTGACTAATAGATCTAACTTATGATAGTGATTCATGTCGTTCCATAAAAAATCTAGATCTAGTTCCATTTTAGTAATAGAAATCTAAAAAAAAATCTTAAAATCAATAAATGTACCCCTACTGCCAAATCTAACAGATAACAGTAAATATACATTTTTTTCAGAGAAATATAAAATTAAACAAAGAACGTTTCCGGCTTTTAATCCAATTGAATATTTTATTCTACTAAGTTCCCCATTGCTATCAATCAATTGCAATCTGTGGTATCTGAAAAATAAAAGATGTAATCCTCTCACATATCTGTATAATTATGTTTATAGGCATCATCACCTTCAAATGAAGCACTGGACTTTAAGCAAGAAAATATTGCAAATGAAAGGGATACATCGACTGAGACCACTGAGATGCAAAATATTGATCATCACAGCAGACCAAGCCAGACACACACCAGTAGAGATATAGCTATTGATTTCCCCACATCTACAAGCCAGCTTCAAAAACATCACCTGCAACTAGCATCAGAAATTAGCGATGCACAAGATAAAATCAAACAAACTGTCGAAACGCTTAACAACGTCATATCTCAAAAGAAACGAGACGCCGAAGACGACGATTGTGAACTGTACGGAAAGTTACTGGCAAACAAATTAAGATATTATTCTAAGTACGAAAGGCATGTTTTGATGCATGAAATCGATGGGCTTCTTCTAAAAAAACCTCCATGTAGTATTACAAATATTCCTTGTAGCTCCAATTCTACTTTCTCGCCAGCACATGACTCTTCGGATCCCCTATCATAATCACCAGTTCAGTATCATAAGATCCAGTTTAGACTACACTTTGGAAATCTAAACGAAACTACACTTTGGAACGAGCCCCTGGCTTCACTGACAGACGGTCGGACGGACAATTAAATTTTTGACGTTTCAAAAGTGCCTAATTAAGAATTAATTGAAATAATGCTTTGACTTTGATTAAGAACCACTTTATAATATCTATTGTTTATATTTAAGATATAAGTTGACGTTTCCCTGTTGACGTCGATGCGGACGAATTTTTGTATAGGTACTCGGTGTAAATAGTTATTATTAGTTTTGTTTTATTTATCTTTTTATATCATAAGTTGTCTATATAATTATAAATATTATGATAGTGATTAATGAAGTAGGTACCTCTAAAAGATGCAAGAAACAATTTAGTAAATTTTAAGAAAAAGGACAAATATAACAAATTTGTTTTATATGTGCTCGTAAATTAAACTGTGTGTTTGAAGGACCTCTTATAGTGCTGAAAGATTTAGACGTTGATGTAACGATAGTTCGAAAGCTTGCGGTAGGTACCTTTTTATATATAATACTTAAAAATAGGCCAAAACATGTTATAACTACTTAAGTTTAAAGGAAAGACACCTTTACTAAATAAACCAATTTGTTTTTCCTTCACTCCGGAGGTGAAGTAGATAAATAAGTGTACTTACCAGTAAGCAATATTGTAACCTTTAGTTACTTAATAATAAACGCTTGTCTTGACCAGACGTGTTTAATTGCACCTCTACACTTCACAACCAAATACATACAACCTATAACTGTCTGAAGAAGTTCACCTTCAGTGAACATCCTTCAACAATATGCATAAACTAATGTGGAAATCAATAAATCTGATGTACTTAATATAAATAGTACTTTATTAATTATCCTGAGCGTGCGATCAAAGAGCCATCAGACCACCACAGATGGGGCCCGACAGGGCCGATGCCGATTCGGAATCGCGGAGAGCCTAACGGGTAACCGGGGCTCCGGCTCGAGAAGGAACGGAGTGGTTTTTAGTCAGTAAGAGTCTGACACTCCCTTCTCATCCGCCTCACCCAGGCGGGAGCAGACATTCAATGATTATCCCCCTTAAAAAAAATGATATCCTGAATGATACGGTTGTTATTTTGTAATGATATTTGTGCGAATGTGAAAATTATTCACTCTGTGAAGCTGTGAACAGTGTGTAGTTCGTGGAGTATCCATTCGAATGATGAACTCGAATGTGTAAATGTGGCATGTGTGATAAATATCCTTTGTGTTCGATTCAATAACAAACACCGTTCGCTTTACACACAGCTGTCACATAACTATCCCCAATTTTCTCCGTCCACAATGGCGACTACTTGTCAACTGGTACCTGTATGTGACGTCATAATACACGTCACAATGTTATCTCACTTTCCACGTGATCGGGCGCCGACCGCGCGGAAGCACTCGTTCTGCTCACCTCGGCTCCCGCACACAATGTCGTGATTGTATTGACGGGTAGTTAATGAAGGTTCCCTTGAAGAGTTATGATTCATTTTATAAATTAGGAGAAATGAATTTTTGAACACAGAGAAATGTCAGAGAAAAACAAGAAGCGGTGGGTAGGTTTCTATCGTGACGCGTAATTACGTCATTAACATACGGTCTAGACACTTTTATTGTATTTTAGCCTGTCTTCGCACCACTGACACAAAATTAATACATTATCCAATCAAATAAGAAAAAAACTAGTACCTACATAATGCCTGTCTACCTATGTTAGAGAATAGGATATTTATTAGAATGTGGAATAAAGATATCAGTCTAATACACAGTCATTCGTTATATTTTTTCCATTTCCATAAGCTACTTACGTTGAGCCTAATGAAGTGAAAAACACAGCAAACACATTACGGCCTCCGTCTGATGTGTAACAAAGTAGCAGAAAGCTAATTTAATGCCTTCATTAATATTAATACTCGAGTAATACATTTACCGCATCCCTCATTAGTCGGAGGAAAGAAAGGAATCGCATGAGGGATGAGGAATCTATCACAATATTAATGCTGACATACATATTCAACAATGACGTGTAAGTCCGCTAACATGGCATCTTTATACCAACTAAATACATTAATTATTTAGATACTTTGGTACTCAAACAACAACAAAGTTCCACGTCCACTCGAGAGAAAATTTCACTTCAATTAAACTACGTGTAGTGGTGATAATATCCATCATACATAATAAATACTTTCGCAAACAGTTTTCATTTCAAACTAAAACTCATTTACACATTTCCAGCGGATACATTGTTTTATCTAACAAATAAAATACTTTCATTAAAAGTATTGAGAACCAATCGAACTCTGGCTATTAGTATGAAGTCAGAACAAAAAGTGGGCACGTGTAACACAGACATACAAACAGATAGACAATACATACATATACAGAACTGTGTTAGATGAAATGTTGATGGGACATCTTCGGGATTGATTAACAAGTAATGATGCGTCGCTTAATACATAAGATATTGTTCATTATATAACTGTTTCCGAGAAAGGAAATAAAGCATCTGAAATAATGGTGTACCGGATTATAGATGCCTACTGCTAGCAAAGTTTTACCCTAATCTATTTATATTTGTATGCGGTAACAAGGTCCGAACTTGAGGTAGATAATTAATATTGAAGAATGTTTTCACTGAATAGTATATTGGTAGGCTATAAATCGTCATCATCATCACCATCATCATCATATCAGCCACAGGACGTCCACTGCTGAACATAGGCCTCCCCCAATAACTTCCAGATAAGTCGGTTGGAAGCGACCTACATCAAGAGGCTGTCTGCGATCTTAAGCAGTTCGTCTGTCCACCTTGCAGGTGGACGTCCTACGCTGCGCTTACCGGTACGATAAATATACACAATTAATTCAAAATTACAAACGAATTGAGGATAATTAGATAGATGTATCTAGACCTACTAATTATAAGCATAAAATCAACGTAATGTTTATGTTAATAACTCCAAATCTTCGTATCTTGAGTCTCATCTAAAAACCCGCAATAGTCACAGAACCTGTGCTGGCAAACGAACACACAGCTCAGCGTATTTTAACTCGGCTATGTAAGTAGGTAAGGGACTAAAAGAACTGACAACTATCTTAAAACGTAGGTAAAAAGTCTACCAACGTGAACGATTACAGTTCTACTGGTTCTGTACATAGTTAGTTTCAAAAATCTTATAGGGAGTACGTAACATTTCAAAACTCCTGATTTTCACACATCCTAAACATCGGTTTAACCATTTACAAAGCTTGATATGTTATCAATTTACGACTGATTTTACTCCGATTCAATCGAAAATGATGACTCAAATCGAACCAATAACTTATGATAAAATGGATTGTATACGAGGTGCGGAACTCCAAACAGGAAAGTTGTCAGGGTTGTCCCGCGCCACAAATCGGCCGCACTCCGCCGACACTGAGGGCTAACAGCCGATTAACATCCGAAGGACTGGATTAGCGAAGGACCGTTCAGTACCAACAACAAATAAGAACAGAAGAACCACATTAAATCTGGGTCGAATGAATCAGGGTTGACATTTTTACGTGTCCTACGTTGAAAGACATGTCTTTTTCATTTGTTAAAGATTTAATAATAATCGAGTGAAATTAATACATAAATGAAAGAAATCCTTTAAAAATCATAGGCAACGTTTAAAAAATATTCTATGGTACGATGCAAGACATCAAAACACCAATTTGAATTTATAAAAGGTACAGATAAGTTAAAAGTCAAAAAGGTATCTGCCAGAGCTAGCGGTCATTAATGAGTCAAGCTAATTGCTAATTTTGTATGGCGGTCATAAGTTCCTAAAGCAAACTACTAAAACAGTTAACCTACTGAATGTTTTATTCAATCACCGGACCCGGGTCCATAATGCGCCGGCTCTCTGATTTCGGGTCAGGGTTGTCGCTCGAGAATTGGCTGCATAAAATTATATGGTGCATGTTATATTTATATAATAGGAGCCTGCCGATAATTCCCACAATAAATAAGGAGGGACTCTACCCATGGGACTCTTGCGTTATTGCCATGTTATAGAGTTTTAAGTAGTTTATAAATAGTGAAGAGCACACACAGAGAAGATTCCAATATGTCCATAATTTATGAATTGGTTCTGTAGAATTATGGTCTCAATTCTTTACAGACTTTTTAAGTGTGGGAGAGCCATGCTTCTGCACGAATGGGCCGGCTCGACCGGATTGATACCACGGTCTCACAAAAAACCGACGTGAAGCAACGCTTGCGTTGTGTTTCGTCGTGTGAGTGAGGTTACCGGAGGCCCAATTACCTTCCCCTTCCCCAATCTCCCCAATCCCTGAATCCCTAACGATCCTCAAACTCCTAATCCCCAAAAAGCCGGTGACGCACTTGTAACGCCTCTGGTGTTCCAGGTGTCCATGGGCGACGCCGATTGCTTACCATCAGGTGATCCGTCCATTTATCGGCTTATGCCATAAAAAAAAGACTGTAGCAAAACTTAACCTCCTTAAAATAATTCAATAACAATAGATCTTTGTCATGCTCAACTATATAGGTACCTACCATAACAATATTCGTTCAGAGAGTAAAAATGAATTTTCATGGAATTCCAACCATACAGAACAAATTTAATGTACGAGTATATCAATTTGAAAAGCAATAAATTGAAGCGAATAATTAATTGGCAATACTGGGGCATATCATCGACAAATGAGATATTGTTTTATATTCCAATCACAACGTCTGTTCACAGAGTATAATTAACTTGGACCGGATTCCAGTTTATTTATTCATGAGTTTGTGTTCTATGGGAATGATGAAATCATACATTTGTTGGTGGAACATGATCGTAATACTGTATTATTTTCATTGGAAGCTACCAACTAATAATCATATCAACCCCCCCTCTCCTTTTATAATTTCATCATTACATTGGGATGATGACAGGGTATGAAAATTAAAAATCTAATTAGTCCGTCAATTAGGTAATGAAAAAAATATTAGACACGTATTTTTTTATTTTGTCGTATAATAAAACAGTACTTAGATAAAACAAATCAAAGTTTGGAG